ACTAAACTAACAAATACTAACAATCTCCACCAACACACCACACAAACTCCAACACACCACACAAGCACCAACACCACACCACAAACACCAACACCGGTGAGGTCCGGGAGAAATCTAACACTTGAGCTCGCTAATTGCATGGCGCTTACGTACGGGCTCTTTAATGACGATGTCATAGTAGCTGCATAGTCTAACCTAACTATCATATTCATATTGGAATTAGAATTATTTAAACTATCCATAACGTTTCCTCGAAATTTACCTCGCAATATTATTGCAAGATTCATACTTGTATGATAAACATTTAACCTATTCTTCGTTTTTCCAGTAAAGTTGAACTACAGAACTAGCAACCATGATACAATGGAAAGATAATTTTAGTATATCTTAATAAATTTGAGATAGCTCAACGATCGCGAAATTGCATACCACTTCCCTTTTAAATTTTACCTTCGTTGAAATCTTTACCCGTTATAAAAAAATGAACACTTTCGTTCCGTAAATCAACGTTAATTCTCTTCCATTCACGCTCATAGCTTTAACTGAAAATATAAACTTCACAGGACAGCTACTGGTTCACCAGTCTGCCATATATATATAACCACCGAAAATAATAAATAGCATTGATCAGCCTAAATTTCGTTATAACCGTCAAACTTTATTGGCTATTGCAGAGCAAAAAATTTAGTTCAAAATACTCCGTCAGGGCGTTTTTTGCAAAGTTTTTATTTTCATTTTGTTAGCTACCGTAAATGTAGATATATAAGGTCGCAGAAAGAAACACATGAATCGCCGGCCTCCAATAGTAACGATCAATTCTATAAAAAAAAACGAACTAAATTTTTATAGAACAATCGAAGAAGGTTTCTAGTTATTATGTTGCAATCGAACCTAACAAATCGTAATTCAGACTAGTATTTTTAGTGAATAGCGGCGAGTTAAGTGCAGTTTCTGCCGAGTGGCATTAGGTTAGGTTAGTCCGGTAGCGTGTAGCCTGCTGCGTCAAGGCCATCACTCCAAAATACTGGTGCTAAGCTACTGACACTAACCTTTTTTATCTCATCAAATATGAACAAATTATTACAAATGTGATAAAATCGACCAAAAAACAGCAGAACTAAATGATAAAATTTGACAATTTATTCAATAAAGACATAGAAGTGTACAAATCATGATAATACGAAATCACCATACCTATCATATTTAATCCCAAATATTTAAATAATTAGATATCCTATCATCTATGCCATTATGCAGTTTCAAGAATCATGACTGGCGTATTTCCATAAATATTCAAATAACATTATAAAAAATGATCAGATTCAAGTTCGTCACCGTATTATGGTAGGCTAGTAGTACTAGGGTCCGTAGGCCGTAGCTAGTATCAATACCATGTAATTTAGGTACCTACATAGTTTACATACTTCATTTGTTCTTCGTTGATAGTTATCCTTCACATTTCATTCATTCAATCCATCAGAAAAAAAATAATTGCTTCAGAAGTTCAGAACCAGTTGTCCAATGTATAAAAAAGGGAGTCTAATTAATTAAATTTGGTGTAAAGAAGTAGGCCTAAGTAAAAATATGGTAGTAGAATGACAACTGGCAGAGCCGATACGGTGACCATCATAGCCATGGCTGCAGCTGCAGGCAGAGTAACTTCCTAGGTACGTAAATAGATAACTTGTAGAATTGGGCATGTCCGAATTTCAATGCGTCAAATCTACGAATTCCCTAACTGCCAGGAAGAACGAAATTTCAAGCGCAAAAATAGTTGCTTGACACTTATTTAGAAGCAAAGATTCTCAAATTAATAAAAAAATTACAAACGTGGGAGTTGTAATTGAATGCTTAGTTTTGAACACGAGCTAGCCTAATCTGCTAATGCGTCGAAGCCTAAAAGCTAAATCCTTCCTCGTGCCGTCATTCGTGGGTCACACTTTTTTATACATACCGTAAAGTGACCTAGAAATTATATCAAGCCGTAATAAGTTTCGTTGAATTAAATTAATAAATATATACCTTATTTTTCTTAGTAATCACATTGACAATTATCACAACGGCTGAAGAAACGTGACAATTAGGACCACAAACGAACACACACACTGAACAGGAGAAGAGCAACACACACACCCTACAGCTAACGCGACTAGAGTGTCACTAACTGTCCAACTCCAAGTCTCCAACACCGGCGGAGGATGAACGGCGATGCCGACTGCAGTGCGTCGACATTTTTGGGGTAATTTTAAAAGAACTCGAGTCACGAAGCAGAATCTTTAATGCGAGTTAATTTAGTCATATATCATAAATAAACTCCTATTATTTTCACTGTAGCATATCCTCAATTTTTACACACGATGAGCTGAAGATGATACAGCTATTCGCATTTGCATTCGGTTCGAATAAAATGGTAATAGTATCCACACGCATTGAAATTCGATATACTTTAATCTCTATACAAGTAAAACATCACCGTTCTAGATTTTCAGCAGTAAATGCTAGTATATAAAACAGAAATTGATTTGCGACGGTTTTTTAAAGAGATTAAATCGTTTAAAGATTGTGAAATAGTCCAGTTAACCGAAATGAACCTTAGATAACGGGATCTCAAGACGTTGCTGAACTGTGCCGCTGTCAAGGAAAAGGAAACTTCTGCATGCAAAAGCAGCTTAACGTTTGACGTTCCAACTAACGTGCGAATAAACGATTGGGAATTTATACCCTGAATATCTTATAACTCTTACTAATCGTCAGTTATGGTATGGAAAGAACTCGTCAGTTATGGAAAGATCGGGTTCCAAAGACCGGATCCCTTGTGAATCAAGTCACGAAAAATTCAAGAATCGGCAACAGGCCATGGGCCTATTTCTTCAGTGCCGACACTTCTATTCTTTTCTTACTAATCTCGCTATTCTTTCGAAGACTCGGCTTATTCTCTCACAGGCTCTCTTAATTATTTTGCAGTCTCTCTTTCTTCTAAGGCTATAAGGCTATAGTTTTATATGTTTCTATACATATATTTTTATCACATCGTAGGCTCGATTACGTTGCATAAAAGGCACAAACAATGAGATTGAAGTAAAAAAGTTTATTAATTCTCTGAAATGACACAATATCTACACAATATTCAACATTAAGGCACATACTATATGATCTCATAGAGATACAGGCTCATGTCAGAAATTAAAGTTGACAACAGGAAAAGTTATTGGAGTTTATTTATAGACTAGCATGGTTAACCATGGAAAAATAGTTTATCCGTAGACAGTTTATCCATGAACAAATAGTTTATCCGTAGACAGTTTATCCATGAACAAATAGTTTATCTGAGACATAAATTCATAAACAGTTCATCCATGGACGAATAGTTCACCAGAGACAAATAGTTTATCCGTAGAAAAAACATCCCTTGCACGATAGGTCTAGCGAAGGATTAAGTTCACAGATGTAGAATTATAATGAATAAAGAAAAAATAAGTACAAAATGGATGATTAAAATAATGAATAAGCAACATCATACATAGAATGCACGTAAATATCGCTGATATTCATACTACACTCGTAAAATTCAGGCTCGAATATCACATAATTTTTTATTATAACAAAGGAATATAAATAACTAAAAATCTGTAGACAATTTACAAGTTGGCGGATTCCAGAAGTGGTGAATAGCAAAGCTCATTAATGAATAACTTGAGGATTTACGCCGGCATCACAAATGGAAAAAAATCCATATGTCGAAAATAGTATAGTTTTAAGCTTGCCGTTAAATGTTAACTTTAAGGTTGCATAGAGTTCCATTAATAACCTAAGCTAGAACTAGACTTAAAACTATAATTTTCGTTCTATAATGCATTTCAGTACGAAGTTACATTAAAACTACATAATTGCCTGGCACCACCTTAGCGATTTTGAGGTATTATAGAGGCTTGCGGTTTCTGGATTCCCTTTGAATGGAACCCAACTTCAAGCCAATCGACTAACTATCCGCAGTCTTCTCTAGCACCTCATCCCATGACCAGTTCCTCCTGCGGCCGTCGATTTGTTGTCAGTGTCCCAGGACGCTATGACCGGAGTTACGGTACTGCTTCTTCGTCGCACGTGATGGGAGCCATGAGGTGCTAAGATCTCCACGTCCGCATGTTCTCCTGAGCCCCAGTTGGACCACTTACCTGCTTCAGCCGACTGCACCAGCTTCAGCCTTTTTATGATACGTAAGTCCTCGGTACCACTTAGTCGTGCGGGTGTGTGCCAGACAGTTTCAGAGACTGACATAGCTAACTCTGCCCTTTGATCTCAAACAAAATAAAGGTGTTGCCCATATTTAATATAAATAAGTATTTAATAGATATTTAATTTTAATAAATAAACCATAATGGATATTTAAATTTAATGGATAAGACGAAATTTAATATATTGCATGCTGGCATGCTATTTCTTTGTTAATTGATAAATGGGCTGTGCCCTTAAAATTACTAAATGATAGTTGACCTAAAACTATATTAGTACAAAATTGATGAATTGATAATTTGATAGATGTATTTAATATATATGGAAAAATTAAATAGATGATGAATTTTATAAATATAATAGATCTATATACAAATACTGTTACCATTAATGATATTTATGATTTTAAATTTATTTCCATATTTTTTGAGGCAGCACTGAACGAAAATGCTGGGGATAAATGGCTGCAGATCTGGCACGTCACGCTTTGGTGGGGAACTTCCTTGACCACTATCCGTTCTCGCAGCCCGGCCAATCTTCATATGCCTATGCAATAATATACGTTGCAATTAACTTGATTAATAAAGAAAAGAAAAATTTAGGAAACTTAACTTTGTTTCACTGCCATCTCTAGCCCCCATGCGCTTAGTTTTCGTTACCATAATAAAGAAAGGGAAGTGATATGAAGTGGCTAAGGTGGAGGGGTCTGGAAGGGTTATTCTGGAGGGCAGAGGAGGTATCCTGAACTGGAGGGGTTATCCTGAAGGTCCTGACAGAGTGGAGGGGTCTGGAGGGGTTATTCTGAAGATCTTGACAGAGTGGAGGAAGAGTGGAGGGGTTATTCTGAAGATCTTGACAGAGTGGAGGAGTCTGGAGGGGTTATTCTGAAGATCTTGACAGAGTGGAGGGAACTGGAGGGGTTATTCTGAAGATCTTGACAGAGTGGAGGGGTCTGGAGGGGTTATTCTGAATATCTTGACAGAGTGGAGGGGTCTGGAGGGGGCCTCTCTGTAGCACCGCACCTCCACCTCCACCACCTCCAGCGACGCGTCTTCTGCAACGTCAATTAATTTATTTACTTATTACTAAATTTATTCATAATTAAATACTCATTAAATGGTAATTAAAATAATATACAAACATCATTTGGAATCATTTTTGGTGTAACAAAAATTATTATTTGCAAGATAATGATACAATCGTAATCTGCTAATTTGGCGGATCTTGAAGAGAGGAAGTCAAGACCTGCCAAGACACACACCTAGACACTTGGCAAGACCTGCCAAGACACACACCAAGACACTTGACAAGACCTGCCAAGACACGTACCTAGACACTTGACAAGACCTGCCAAGACACACACCTAGACACTTGACAAGACCTGCCAAGACACACCAAGACACTTGACAAGACCTGCCAAGACACACACCAATACACTTGACAAAACCTGTCAAGACACACACCTAGAGACTTGACAAGACCTGCCAAGACACACACCAATACACTTGACAAGACCTGCCAAGACACTTGACAAGACCTGCCAAAACACACCAAGACACTTGACAATACCTGCCAAGAAACACACCAATACACTTGACAAAACCTGCCAAGACACACACCTAGACACTTGACAAGACCTGCCAAGACACACACCAATACACTTGACAAGACCTGCCAAGACACACCAAGACACTTGACAAGACCTGTCAAGGCACACCAAGACACTTGACAAGACCTGCCAAGACACACCAAGACACTTGACAAGACCTGCCAAGACACACCAAGACACTTGACAAGACCTGCCAAGACACTTGACAAGACCAGCCAAGACACACCAAGACACTTGACAAGACCTGCCAAGACACACCTAGACACTTGACGAAGCTGTTAATGTTGTCTTCATTGCGTACCGTCGCCGCCAGCAGCGCCGCCCTCCTTGCGCCTGTCAAGGAAATTCGGCACGTCAAGTGATAACAAATTTATCTAATGATAACGTTATTTTCTCATTAACATCATCATCTGATAACGTTATCATCTCATTAACATCATCATCTGATAACGTTATCATCTCATTAACATCATCATCTGATAACGTTATCATCTCATTAACATCATCATCTAATGAGAACGTTATCTCATTAAAATCATCATCAAATGATAACATTATCATCTCATTAACATTATCGTCTAATGATAACGTTATCATCTCATTAACATCGTCTAATGATAACGTTATCATCTCATTAACATCATCATATTATGCAAACTCTCTGGCTTTAAATTTTCATGTTGTATCCTATTTACGTGTATTATGTACTTATGTCCAACACAATTTCACTATTCAATGCTTCTCTTAACTTGAAAATGAATGTTGCGACATTCGAAACGTCGTTAACATATTATTATAACTTGCTAAATCTGCCTTTTGATCTACCAAAGTCATCTAAAGAATTGTTCGACTCAAATTTAACGTGCATACATAAAATTTTATGTACATATATTACATTTTAGTATAGGTTGGCAGAATTTTCCTTAAGGCAGTTTTCATTGAAGATCAGACATATCAAATTTTACATGAATATATTAAATTTTAAAAACATATATTAAATTTTACAAACAATACTAAATTTTTACATGAATATATCAAATTTTACGTAAACACTAAATCAAATTTTAAGTAGGTATATATAACAAATTTTACGAATATATCAAATAATATACTTTAAAATTCTTTTGAAAGTATCATAAGAAAAGAGTGGAAGAAAACACCACTCACCAACTGAATGTGAAGAGAATGGTGATGTTGGTGGTGATAATGATTGTTGTGGTTGCATTGATAATGATGGTTGCAGTGATGATGCTTGTGAAGACAGTGGTAGTGGTGATGGTGGTGATAATGATGGTTGCATTGAAGATGATGATTGCAGTGATGATGCTGATGATAAATTCCCATTCATCAGCCCCGACTTCACCACATTGGATGATGATATGGACTCAGCAACTGCATCACTGCCCATCGAATCATTAAATAATAATAAATAATCATTATATTCATGGTCATACAAGTGAGGCAGGAGTAAGGCATAAAATAAAATACTCCTGCACACAAGGACTTTGTATAAATGTCAGACTATACAACAAAACACAAGAGAAATCCTGTGTCCATACAAGAACAAAATACAAGGCACTAAAGACAAGATCCTGCAGGTATCCCACAATTCCTATCATTGTGCAATTTTAGAACTGAACTATTATATTTATATACATAATTTTATTACACATATATAAATTATTTTATATAATTTATATATAAATTATATAAGTTATCTTGCTATTTACTTTCTCCAATTTATTTTCTCTGATTTAATGCAGAGGATGTAATCTGAGAAATACAATTCACAGGTCAAAATTTTTTTATTTAGTACCTAGTTTAGATCATCCTAATATTAAATTAAATGATGCGTTGGTAAGTCAAACCCTAACTCATTTACCTTGTCACTCAATTTTACATGCAACAACAATTATGTCTCACCTCTCAAAAATATTGTCTTTAATTACATCATAAACATTAATGACACATTCACATTCATACATCTTGATACATTCACACTCGTACATTCACATTCATACCCCTTGATACATTCACACTCATACATCTTGACACATTCACACTCGTACATCTTGATACATTCACACTCATACATCTTGATACATTCACACTCATACATCTCGATACATTCACATTCATACATCTTGACACATTCACACTCGTACATCTTGATACATTCACACTCATACATCTTGATACATTCACATTCATACATCTTGATACATTCACATTCATACCCCTTGATACATTCCCATTCATACATCTTGATACATTCCCATTCATACATCTTGATACATTCACACTCATACATCTTGATACATTCACACTCATATATCTTGATACATTCACATTCATACATCTTGATACATTCACATTCATACATCTCGATCCATTCACATTCATACCTCTTGATACATTCACATTCATCCATCTTGATACCTTCACATTCATACCCCTTGATACCTTCACATTCATACCTCTTGATACATTCACATTCATCCATCTAGACACATTCACATTCATCCATCTTGAGCATTTACATTCATACATCTTGATACATTCCCATTCATACATCTTGATACATTCACACTCATACATCTTGATACATTCACACTCATACATCTTGATACATTCACATTCATACCTCTCGATACATTCACATTCATACCTCTCGATACATTCACATTCATACCTCTTGATACATTCACATTCATCCATCTAACCATGGTGGAGTGGATTGCAGGTCTCCAGGAGCATCCAGGAGGATGGATAAAGTGTGGCGCAGGGCAGGGAACAAGCGTGGATCAAATACAACATCTGCACAACAATGGGCGGACAAATGATACAAATATTTAATTGCCTACAAATGATACAAATATTTCTGATGATACAAAATAAATGGACTATAAGCATGTTTATGTTGAATCATACAAGGCTTATTTAGCTTCACAGCCATGCGCCATGAATGAATGCAATCAAATGTACAAGGTATATTACATTATTTTAATGATAATAGATAAATCATTAGGCCATCCATCATTATGATCATTTAAAAAAGTTCTAGTATAGATAATTGATAACATCAAAAGAACAGACATCATTATGATCATTTAACAGGCACAGCAAACCTGCAGCAAGTACGACATCACACGCTGCCACGTCCGCAGCGGTTGTGCTCTGCCAGTCTAGTGGCACCAGACGTACGATGCAGTCTTCATACTCCCATGTTTTGCCGTCCTGTAACCTTTATATAATGAATAATTTTTTATAGTTTTGGTAACGATTCTGTCTCATATCTGATTTAATTTAAATAGACTCAGATGTTTATAAATTTATTAGGTTGGCAGGTTATAACAAAATATAATTGAAAGATGAGAAGAATGTTACACAACAAAATTAAGTTATTGCAATTAGCCTATACAGTCATTTATTGATGGATTAAGATATTTTGGGAGGTAACAACAGTTGCTCATAAATTTAACCTCAAGTTTAATGTGTTTTATTATTTAACATACAATGTACAATGTTTTATTATTTAAAGTGTGAGAAAAAGTACGTAATATAATAAAAACAATAATAAAATAATACAAATTTGTACTGTATTTCATCAGAAAAGACCTAATGAACAGAAGAAAATTATTGCATTTTGAAAAAAAGTTAAAAAAAAGTCAGAAAAGTTATTTAGATACTTGATGCTGTTGTAAAAGGGAATTGTCATAAATAAAAATTTTTACTATGAAAAGATGTTAAAAGTTATTAACCTGATGCTGGCATTGAGCAATGTTGATGCAGATGTTGTGATGTAAGGCATCCATGACGGCAGGATGGTGGTCAGTGAAGGTGTAGGCAGCAGGCAAATGTTCAATAATGAGGCCTAGTCCTAGTAGGCCTAGTCCAGCACCTAGCTCCACCACACGCTTGCTGTACAAAACTCATACATTAAGTTATATTACATAATGTACTCAGCTATATAGCGTATACCGGTACTTATATTTATATAAAATATATTAGGTCCTGATGCAAGCATCAGCTAATAAGTCTTGTTAAAATAATTCATACATTAAGTTATATTACATGATGTACTCAGCTATATAGTTTCAAATGTTTGTTACATTCCAAACGTTGTTAATAAACTAAAACTACTTCCTGATATATGCCTTTTGATCTACCAATGTCATCTGAAGAATTGTCCAACTCTTTGATAATTTAAATCAACAAATTCTCTGGTCGTTAATTGCATGCGTATAAATCAGCTATATAGTGTATATAAATATAGTTATTTCAATGCATTATGTCCTAATGCAAGAATCAGCTAATAAAAGTTTTGTTTAAATAATTTTAAAATTGGTCCACCCAAGGCAAATCATTCAAAATTTTCATAAATTTCTACCAAAATGGGCCTGTATGAGATAACATTGAAAAATAAATAAATTGTAAACATTAATAATCCTTATTCTTTAGGATTTCCTGACCTAATTAACCCAATCCAAGCAACCAAACAAATATATTTTATAATTTCATTTTCTAATAGGTACAAATTTATACACAGCCATAAAAAAAAATAAAAAAAAACTTTTAAAAACCATGTTTTCTTAACGGACAAAAAAGAAAAACAGTAACTCTTATATAACATTACATAACATTCTACAAAACTTTAATGTTATGTAAGAGTTACTGTTTTTCTTTTTTGTCTGTTAAGAAAACATAGTTTTTAAAAGTTTTTTATTTATTTTATTTTCTACCTTTCAGTTTAGCAATTTTAGCAATTCAAATCATTTTCCAGGCTTGGCAATTCTGGATGTTCAACAAAAAAAAAAAAAACTTGATTCCCAACTGTGAATTTCTAAGTTGTTTTTATTAAAAATATTTATTAAAATTTTTTTTAATTATTACTTCTGATGGTCAAATCTTGAATTGTTAGGCAACATAAGCATGCATGCCAAATTTCAAGTTCCTAGGATCTTCAGAAATGCTCTAAATTAAGGTTTGAATTTTTGATGACAGACAGAGATGAAACGAAACTAAGAAAAACGTGGTAAAATTAATACTCAATACAAAAAAAATTTCCAAAAATCAATGCTTCAGAAACTTGTGATAGAGAAATTAAAAAATTTATTCATATAGATTATAGATAAACAAAATGCATTAATATACATGTACAATACGTTCATTGTGATGCTACCAGTTTCCCAGTGCCAAGACTTACCATTGAACAATACTCGGATTTTCCAGGAGAAATTCCAGTAGCACATGGGATGCCTGAACAGAATGAGGATTATGGCTCAAAGTATCCTCTTTTTTTCAATCAAATGTCAGAATACCCTAAACAGAACATGGATTATGGCTCAAGGCATCCTCTTTTTTTTAATCAAATGTAAGAAATGCCTGAACAGAACAAGGATTATGGCTCAAAGTATCCTTTATAGCACATTTTCTCATTTATGGAAAAAATGCACTATTGTGCTTGCCATGTCCGTCTGTCTGTCTGTCCGTGACTTCATGTTTTAGTCAATGAGAAAATGTGCCCTCTGTCACTCACTGCAGTGAGTACTGAGTTATATTTTTTAATCAAATGTCATATGACACACATGAGAAAAATTGAATAAGAAAAAATCTATAGACTACATTTTGGGAGCTACAGTATGTAAAGGTGCCAGTGTTTGAAACCAGGCACTGATGGCACAGTATTTTACTAACTGTGTGCAAATGATGCATAATTTTTCAATAAAAAAATTAAACAAATTTCTCAACATGGGTTATTGTCTAATAAACTTGAACTTGATGAATAAATCTAGACCATTTTTGTTAAATTGATATAAATGATATCATTGCTACAATTAAGATAGATGACCACTTATCTGGTATTATACTGATAATATTCAAGCAGTATTATTCAAATTGCAGCACTTAAATTTTTTTATTACAATCAAGAATCCAAATCTCCAACTTTAACAGCAATAAATTCATTGGAAATAAAATTTAACTACACATAGTCAAGAAAATTTACCAAATATTCACATTAGTATAGAAAGAAAAATTAGTATCATTCATTAGGTTTTTCATAGGTATTATAATATACGAATTTTCATCAATGAACAACTGGCCAAACAGCTTCAAATAGATTGGCACCTGATAAGGTAATGAGGAAATCGGCACCTGATGCTAATGTAATATGGGATTGGTACCTTATAATACGGCAATATGGGATTGGTACTTTATAATACGGTAATAAGGGGCTGGCACCCTATAATACAGTAATAAGGGACTGTTACCTTATAATACCGTAATATGGGATTGGTACCTTATAATACGGCAATATGGGATTGGTACTTTATAATACGGTAATAAGGGGCTGGTACCTGCCAGGTACGTAGACCAGTGGTGCCATCCACCACCAAGTTGCTTGTCTCCCGTAACGTCACATGTTTGCCGGACTCCAGTGTGTAGGTGCGGTAGAAACCTCCACTGTTGCCCCCACAAAATGTTGATTCTAAACAACACGGAGACTCTTTCTCTTCACCCAGCAAGTTTGTGTACAAAGTATAAATTGATTCAGATACTTCATGACCCTGTACTTCAATCTGTAAGAGAGTATTTGTAACTATTCAGTGATTGACAGAGTAATTGTAATTCTTGAAAAAAATAAATTAACTGATTAGGATATTATTTTCAAGAAGTATCTCTATTTTCTATTTTTTTTACATTTTAGCAAATCACTTGTGTAGAATAATCTTGGTATACAATACATGTGTAAATTCAATAAAATATATAACACCAGTATTCCTAAATGGAATGAGGTAATAAAACCAGCTTCATTGTTGCCAAGTTGCAATAATGCAGGGTTGTCATATCAGTTAAATAATCCAATAATCACATACAATAAGTTAAATATCACATACATTGCCACACATCACTTCTGGTTTATGCAATGTTAGAACATGAAACATTCGATAAAGTTTTGAAAATTATTAGCTTTCACTACAGAGAAATAAGAACTTCCTTATCATCATTATCATTATGCATTCATAAAATAATTTTAATTAATGGACTAAGAAAAAATCTATTTCAAATAATTGAAGCATGTAACATGTAACTGCACTTCTATGAATGTGACTAATGTAACATTATCAACCATAATTTGTAATAATTTAGCATAATTTTACAAGGGATATCTTCAATAAAGCATCTGTTTGAAATTGTACATTTTTGAAACTTCAATTTTTTTCAGTTGATAAAAAACCCTATGGTGTCAATACATTTATGCCAAACTATAGTGCACAAAAATATTGCATCACTGTCTGAGTTATGCCTAAAAAAGTAAAGGATTCCACCATATTTGGGTTGAACAAATAAGATAGGAGTAATTGCTTATCTGGGAGTAAACAAATGCATACAGTAATTATTAAATTAGACCTTTCCATTGTTTACCTCAGAAATAAGGGATTTGAGGAATGCTTTAACATATGAAGCCTTGGGAGGATATCTCTTAGCGATGTCAGATAAAACTGTCCCTTCAATGAGCAGCTTCTGAAGCTCCTGGCACTCCACGTAGCTCTTCTCAGCAGCAAAACTCTCCTGGAACATAAGTTTACACCTTGTGAATTATATAAATTGTTGTAATAATTGTTACAAACTGTTGTAACAATTATTACAAACTTACCTCTTTTGTAAATTATTACAAAAGAGGTACCAAACTGTTGTAACAATTGGTACAAACTATTGTAACAATTACTACAAACGGTTTGAGGTGAAAAAATATGAACAAACTCAAATAGATGAGTTGTTATGTAGAATGGATGAGGGTTTCTGTGCTCTTATATTTTCAGTGTCCCAAAAATTCTTCTAAAGATGCAAACAACAACACCAACATGATGCAATATCTTTTCAATAAAAAGCATGTTAAAGAAATGGTGATGGTTATTAATTTCTAATTAAAAGTTGTTGTACCTATTTATCAAAATTATTCATATAAATGATTTAAAAAATTTTTTCTTTGAGTATTCAGTAGTATAAATAACACGACATGTAATTTAGTGACTTTCAGAAGATCTCCATCATTATAAATGTATTCTTCCAAAAATATATGAATCATTATATGTAGGTATATAAATTAAAATGAATTCAGTGACATGCACATTGCATCTATTAGTAAATTATCAACACACAAATTTGTTAATTTGCTTGAATAATAAGTCAAAATATGAATAATAAATAATAATAATGAGTTATAATAAATTTAAAAGTAGTTAGTAGTAGGTATTTCTTACCTTGAAAGAAATATCTTCAATTGGATACATTGCCAGGAATTTTTGTTTGAATTGCTTTGTATTAAATAAATCTGATTCTGACATGATATTAGTTTGGTTGCATACAATTCAAAACCTGAAAAATCAGATAGGCTATGTACATTTATCAATACATTTTTTTTTCATAAACCAGGTTCAATTTTAGTCATTTCATCAGTTTATATTATATGTAGTGCACTGTACAGCAATCCCTTGATTAATGCGGTTAATAAATCCCAGAGTTTTACCGTGTTAAGCAAAACTGCGCTAATCAAACTTAAGAATATATGGGAATAATTATAATGAATCCTCAAAAATAGCAAAGGAAAGGAAAATTATGTAGTTTGATAAAAGTGAGCAGTAGATATGGCAGCAATCTTGACCAGTTGAAGGCTAACGAGTAACTAGCCCCTTACGCACTGAATTATGTTTCGAAAGTGAAAAAACAATCTGAATTACTTTTCAGATCACGCGCAGTCTTTGTGTTGTATGTACTGGCAGTAGCGGCGCACCTACTCCATCGAACGTCGTTCGAATGAGTTCATAACATGTGATGCTACCGTCACACTCGCGGCTAGACTCCAAACATGTAATTACTCTCGGTAGAAGCTTTTATTTTCTGAGTGACGAATTTGTCACACCAGGGCTTAAAGGGCTAGAGCACCGGCATGGCGCACTTATCGGCGAACGTTGCCGAACTCGATCATTCGAGTTATGAACGAGACAAGGCGCGGTTAAACCGACTCTGTAGTCAGCACGAGTGCCTACGGAACGGGACCTTATTTAAAGAATTATTGGCTGATTACGAACGTAACACCTCTGGCTAGAGGCGGGAAAATGATGCATTGTGAAAAAAAAGTCGCGCTAATCAAAACTGGCACCGCGTAGATTAAGGGTTGGTCACAATTTTTTTTTCCGTTAATCAAAACCGCGGTATTCAAATCCGTGCTAATCAAGGGATTGCTGTACACTAATACGTAACACCTCTGGCTAGAGGCGGGAAAATGATGCATTGTGAAAAAAAAGTCACGCTAATCAAAACTGGCACCGCGTAGATTAAGGGTTGGTTGCAATTTTTTTCCGCGTTAATCAAAACCGCGGTATTCAAATCCGTGCTAATCAAGGGATTGCTGTACACTAATCAGTAATCACTAATATCATCTTACAAGTAGCCTACTGGCGCTACTGCACTAATACCATCCTAAATGTACAAGTAGGATAAACGCGGTATATCCGACACATTAAGGACGCATCGAGAAATGAAAAACTATAAAAAAAACTGTATGCATTACGTAAGTTCTGTTGCCTTCACATGACTCTCAAAACAATGCTCCATTCACAACTAGCACCTGACTCTTCTCTGGGCTAAAGAGAACATTAAAATCCTTGCCATACTCAGTTATACAGTCAAGCATACTCTGAAGTTCAACACCATTTTCACTCATTATTACTGCATCATCCGCATACAATAGCATTTTTAGTCTTTCATCTCCAACACACACTACCACATCCATTCTTCTCAGTCTAGCAGCCATCTCTTCAGTGTATAGGCTGAAGAGAAGTGGAGACAGGATACATCCTTGTCGAACACCCCTCACGCACTTCACCCAGTCAGTCTCTACATCTCCAAGCCTATATTTAGCATGCACGAGTGTGCACTCTTCAAGCCTGGAATTATCCTTGTTGCACATCTTTGTCACGTATCAGTCCTAAATTTAATAGTTCGACCAAATCTTGATTTTCTTGTTTCAGTCTTGGCGTTCGATGGCGTTTCATCGAGCTCATCCTTAATAGGAATAGTTTCTGGAGAAGATGAATGGTTGTCGCTGGCTGGTACTGGTGGGATAACTGGTACTTTCATCTTGCGTAGCCTTAAGCTCTCTGATAAATTCGGGTTGTGTACAGGCTTCAGGGGGTCTATTGAGACGTTTTGTTCGGCACCAGCTTCAGTTTTAATAGTGAAAAATTTATCGTGGCGACTCACGATTTCGCATGGACCAGCGTACGGCGCCTCTAGTGGGGGCGAACTCTGTCAATCGTAAGCCAGACGTGCGTGCAGGGCCGCAAATCGTCGGGAATATGAGATTTTGTGACTCCATGAAGTCTTCCTGCAGACAATTTTCAAAATTAATTTTAGACATTTTGAAAGTAATTTTCTTCCTGTGTCACAATTGAAGTTTTGTTCAGCTTCATTTGCTATTAAGGGTCGAGGTAGAAGACAGGAGGTACAGGTCACGGCTACGGACGGGGAAAATCCTGACTCATTTGGGATGTTGTGAAGACTGAGCAATATAACCGGGAGGGCTTTTAACCAGTTTTCTTTACGAGCAATTATTGCAATTTTTATTGTTCTGCGCTGTCTCTCAATTAGTCCATAAGTCTGGGAATGATACGCAGTTGTTCGCAGGCGATGAAAACCCACCAAGGTGGACAATTATCTAAATAATTCACTCTCGAATTGCGATCCGCGGTCAGTAATGACGTGCAGAGGCACTCCGAATCTGAAGATCCATGCTTCTAGGACACGGCGACCGTTGAAGAATTGATGTTGGTCATGGGAATAGCTTCAATCCAACGAGTCGCACGATCTATGCAAGTTAGAAGATACTTATAAGGAGTGGGTGTAAAATCATCGTGCGTGGCGGGTTGAAGTGGTCCCACGATGTCAAGGTGGACCGTTTGAAATCTCTGTGATGCCAAACTAAAATGTTCGATGCTCGTCTTCGTAGGTCTAATAATCTTGCTTTGTTGGCAATTCTTACATTCATGTGTCCATGTTCTAATGTTTCTGTCCATATCTGGCCATATTAACGAGACTTCATAAGCTTGAGAGATGACTTGACGTCCGGGTGCGACATGCCGTGCAAACTCTCAAAAATGCCTCGTCTTGATGCTGCTGGGACAAACGGTGGGGGGTATGGCGTCGAGGTTTCCCACAATATGTTGCAGGATGTTAACTTGTACGGTTTCAGTCTGTCGATGTAGGATTTAAAATCTTCGCCCGTCTTCTGTTGCGTTGCGAGCGCAGGCAACTCGTACAAATCACAAGTTAGTGAATTTGCTGGACGGGATAGGCAATCAGCCACAACATTTTGTTCACCATTGATGTAAACGAGGTCTGCCACGTACTCCGCAATCAGAGAAAGATGGCGTTGTTGTTTATCGGATTTAAGTGGAGAAGTCTTTTTGAAAGCGGAGGAAAAAGATTTATGATCGGTAAACAAGGTAACGTGACGCCCTTCAATCTGAGGTTTAAAATGAATTACAGCCAAATATGCAGCTAATAATTCTCTATCAAATGTTGAATATTTCCTCTGACTTTCGGATACTTTCTTTGAAAATAATTTTATCGGGTACGGTTTGTTATCTGTTATTTGGTGAAGAGCTGCACCAACGGCAAAGTTTGAACTATCGGTACCCAAATGGTAATGATTGACAGGTAAACTTGGATGTTTAATTAAGGGAGGGTAACTGCTAAAACGCTCTTCGCTCGCTCAAAAGCTAATCGTGCTTCTGCCTCTAACGTCAGAGTTTTTGCATTCGGATTTTTCTTTATTAAATCGTTAAGCGGGAGTACAGTCAGGGCAAAATTGTTAATTAGTCTCCGATAGAAACCTACCATGCAGTCCATGCTCAAGGATCGACGGAGTGATTTCGAGTCAGTCGGCTCTGGAAAGGAGATTTCCGATACTTTGCGTTGTGTTGGTTTGATACCGTTTGCCGAAATATTGCAACCAAGGAAGTCGATATCATCTTTAAAATTATTAAAATTTAAAATACGATATCATCTTGCATTTATGAAGCGCAACTTTTAATTGATTTTGGTTAAGAATATTTAGCACGTTCTTCAAATCTGTTAAGTGACTCACGATTAGTAGAAAACACGAGGATGTCGTCTAGGTAAACGAACACGCACTTTAGATTTAGAAACAAATTGTCCATGAATATTTGAAATGTTGCTCCGGCATTCCGTAAGCCGAAAGGCATGTAAAGATATTCGTAAAGGCCGAAAGGGGTGGCGACTGCTGTTTTCTCAATATCGCATTTCTGAACGGGAATTTGGTGGTACGCTTTAACGAGATCTACTTTCGAAAACATTGTCATTCCGTCGAGTTAGTTTGAAACACGATGGATATGAGGAAATGGATAACGGTCGGGTTTAGTAATAATAATAATATTAGCGGTTTCAGCGTTTAGTAGGCCGTAGGCCTGTCGCCGATTCTCAACATCGCAGAACATTCACAGCATTTTGCGGTCTCGAACTCGCAACGTACTGCTACAATTTTGCTGTGCTTAACCGTCCGGCCTCCTTGCCGATTCTGACCAGAAACTGGCGCACAGAGCTGGGATTGAACCCGCGCCTCTCTTGGTATACTGAACTTTAACCACTGGGCCACCCTGCCTAATGGCACTAAGTCCACGATAATCTCCACAAGCACGGTATGAATTCGGTTGGCATTTTGGAACTAAATGAAGTGGAGATGACCAAGGCGATTTAGAAGGTCTTATAATTCCGGATCGCAATAAGCTAGAAAATTCGGCTTTGGCAGCGTTATATTTCTCCGCAGAAATCTGTCGGGTTTTGGCATAAATGGGACTAGCATTTCCTGTATCGATACAATGGTTCACTTTTTAGATTCAGTTGGAGACACTGGCTCAGATTTTGAAAAAGCGAGTTCGGGGAATTTATCGAAAATTTTCGTTAGATCCGGAGGCAAAGTTTTACTGTCATTAACTATTACTTGTACTGAATAATATGAAATTGACTTTGCATTTACGGTACTTTTGGTTACGATATCAATAAGTTGCAATTTAGAACAGTCTACTAATAACTTATGGCGAGAGAAAAAATCGATTCCCAATAACGGATTGGAGGTATCGGCAATAACGAATGTCCAAGTGAATTTACGTCGGAGGGACGGAATTTGTATGCCAACTACCGCTTCTCCATAGGTGCAAATGGACTCACCAGAGGCAGATGATAATTGAACCGCGGTCGGTTGAAGTGATAACCCCGTGTAATAGCGTTTTGGCAAAATTAAAATTGCAGCCCCGTGTCCACAATCATGCGGAGATCTGTCGCGCCGACACGAGCAGCAACTTTGAGAAGTGGCGGGCCGGTTGTCACGGAAACGACCCGCTTGGCTGGTTTGTCGCCTTTCC